GATTCATAAGATCCCAACGGAACATCTCCTTTGAGAAGGTATTCCTGAATACCATCCCTGCTGGCCTATCCACTGTTCGTGCGCGTATGTGAACCATATTTGGCGCTAACAGTGGTTTACTAGAATCCCACCACTCCCACCACAGAGCTTCACCGGCAGAATGACGGTTAGTGATGAGCGCTGTCGCTCCGCGGCACTTGTTTACCAATGTGTCTGTTGTACTGACACGCGTGGTGTAGGGGTGTGCGTGTGCGTGTGCGTGGGCGTGTGGTAGCGCGCGCGCGCATTGTGTGTGTGTGCGCGGCCGGCGTAGTGTGTTGATGTCGTGTGCTGTGTGTGTGTGTGTGTGCCGTGCCGACGTGTCGTCTGTGTGTGCTGTGCTGTGCGCGTCGTGTCGAGTGTGTGCGTGTGCTCGTGTGTCGTGTGCGTAACGTGCGGCGTCGCGCGTGTGCTTCGTGGCGTGCGTGTCGTGTGCGTTGCGCGTCGTTGTGGCGTGTGCGTGTGCCTCGTGCGTGTGCTGCGTGCATTCGTCGAGCCGTTTAGATTTGTGCCGCAATTCTGCATTTCCTCCCTATACCTTAAGTTAAGGAGGGAATGTTCCCCCTTCTTTTACACCTCGTGACCTTTGACCGTCCCCAGCTTCGACATACCAACTCGTTTTCGGATTACCCCCTCCCCCACCCACGTCCCGAATATCGTGACCGTACGTCGAGCGGTTAAGATTTGTGCCCAACTGTTGACGCACGCACGGCCGGACGCACGGACGGACGCACGGACGGACGCACGTTCATGCGATTCTACAAGCTGCATCTGACTACGTCAGATGAGCTAAAAGTAAAAAGCATCACAGTCAGCCAAGCAGCGCCATCTGGTAGCCGAAAATTATATTTGACAAGACATTTTTGCGCAGATGCAGTGTTACCCCTGCCTATGGTTAATTAGTCATCCAACATCATCACTGCAACCTGAGATCTGACACACGTAGTCCATCAAATCGCGAACACACACGCGGATTCGGGGAGAGAAATATATGCACGCAAAATCATAATACGCGTACGTGCCATCGGAAAGGCTTCGACAAATGATTGCTTCCACTTGAGGAATTCGGTCTCTTTTCATCCAAACGTAAAAAACAACCACGGCGCACGAAAAGCCGGTTCGTAAAAATCTCCAATGCAAGCGTGCGGCCGATACTTCTCATTAAAAACCACACGGAACAATACGATGTCAGAATTAATTATTGTTCGTCGTTAACTATGCGTGCTGCCATCTCCAATCATATTCCATTCATTAGTAAATAATATTAATACTTCAATTCGCATTCATTACCGGTGATGTAATGATTCTTCACGCAAGAAACCATTAAAATCACTAAAAATCATTGTGCATGTAGTTGTTGCAAACAATTCCCCCAATTAGTGTTATGGAGAGTACACAACAGGGTACGACTCGTCTGAGTGATGTTGAATTGTATGGGTGAGCATACCAGCCAACAGGTAATCGCTATAACTCAATTTCACTTTAATTTTATTACATCATTACCATTACATTGTGATAAAAATGTGTATGTTATTATACATGCCATGCTGCTTACATACCAGTGGATTATACACGTAACTATGGAATGTGGCACACACATTTGCCAATATTCGAATTAAAAACATGCACAAAGTTGCTGTGACATGATTGCACAAAAATCTTCGTTTTTGTCTAAATACATTAAGCCTAAATGTGCACGAAACCCAGTGTACATTGAGTGTACTTCCAGTCTATTGGTAAGGCAAAGCAATGAAGCAAACAGCCGATAACAATTCCCTGACTGACTGGTACTCTTGGTTTGACGTATGAACATTTAGTAGACAATGCATTTCATTGCTATCCTAGCTGACATCCTACACGGTGAATATACAGCCACAAGTAACTGCCATAATTACACATGCACACTAAAACGAGATACTTGTGAAGAGATACTCCGACAGTTTCCTGCATTAAATTGCTGATAGCACTAATAGCTAACCATAACCATAACCTATATCTAACCTCACCCTAATCCTTACCACAGTTTATCATGGCTCGTTGACAACAATCTTACAATAGTTTATTGCGGGGGATCTGCGGAAACATCTTTGGAGGATGAGTGAACAGTTAAGCCTGAGATTACTTCTCACATGGTGAGCATGTTCCAGCCGTGCATTCTTCCATATGTATTCTCCATCAGAGATGGCGCCACGATCACCGCTTCTCCTCGACGACAGACTAATGAGTCATCCAGCGACTCTGATCGCTCGCTGGTTATCTGAAGGGTCAGAGGTCAGCGACTCCGATCGCTCGCTGGTTATCTGAAGGGTCAGAGGTCAGCGACTCCGATCGCTCGCTGGTTAGCTGAAGGGTCAGAGGTCAAGGACACCGATCGCTTGCTGGTTAGCTAAAGGTTCAAAGGTCAGGAACACCAATCGCTCGCTGGTTAGCTGAAGGGTCATAGGTCAGGGACACCAAACGCTCGCTGGTTGGCTGAGGGGTCATAGGTCAGGAACACCGATCGCTCGCTGGTTCGCTGAAGAGTCAGAGGTCAGGAACACCTATCACTCGCTGGTTGGCTGAGGGGTGACAGATCAGCAACTTCAATCTCTCTCTGGTTGACTGAGGAGTCAGAGGTCATCCCTGCTATCTGTCGCCGAATCCTCCGCGTTGCTCCTGCATGCGTGCAATGAGCTTTGATTTTTCGTAGGTCTTGGTATAACCTGTAACAACAACGGCACAAATAACAGAACTGACATATAATGGACCCATCCACCTGGCGTGACTGAGTGGTAGCTCTAGCAAATCAGTGTTTTACGAAAGGACAATTTAAACGATGATACAATACATTTCTTATTGATGAACTGCTGCAAAGTCGATACTTGCAATGCACACATGTGTAAAATCAAATATAAACATGACTAGGCTGACCAACATAGCAACAATATTCATGGTGGAATGGTTATCTTGTTCAGGTGCGGATGTCTACTAAATTAACAGGTGATTTACATACAGAACACAAAAAATTCCAGGCTGACTTGCCCCTTGTATCAATATATCTGAATTTATGCCAAAACATTTTCATTTTTCATATTAGCTTCTGATTTGACTAAATTCTTTGCGTTTGTAAAGGTTTTGTCATAAACAGATTCATTACAATCACACGATAGACTTCTTACCATACGGAAAATATCTCACAGTCAGTTCAATCACTGTGTTGTTCTTCAGCATTTTTACTGCCTACAAGCAGAAATAAAATAAGTGATGTCGCAGCGCCACCTATTAGATAATTATACAATATTTGTAATATCTGTGCTTGACAGTGTCAATATACGTAGTACTTACAGTAGCATGTTCAATATCCTCAAAACTGATGTCATTGACTTTCAATATCTGTAAGAATAATAAACTATTTACAATAATATCAACAGAACATGATGCGTTGTACACGTTGCTTGTGAACACATACTTGACACACACACACATCACAGCCTTATTTTTTAAACTTTATATAAACCCTGCTAGCGCCACCATACCATATGCTATTACGCGACAAATGCTCGACGTACCTATCTAGCCCACCAGCTCATCTTTTACGGATGTAACTAACCGTAACCATGGTTACACGACATACCTGGTCTCCTTCTCTCAAGCGGAGTCTCTCAGCCTCCGTACCAGGCATGACCTTGGATATGTAGACACCACATAGGTACTCTTTACCACCCCGTACGTTGAACCCCAGCTGAATAAAATGTAAACATCAGCGTTGTTATCACGTGCCTGTCATACATAAGGGATTCCACATGTCAGGGGCTGAAAATAGGGCAAGTTCGAGGTCCGGGACAGCGGGACCTGCCAATTTTATGCTCGGACCTTCGCAATTTCCAAGCAGAAAGTCCGTCAGACCTATCAATAAGTTAGAGTAGGCCTACTCCACTTTCATCAAATAAAACATCATTAAACCATTGCAAATTACAAAGAAATAAAGCAAAAGTAGATCGATTTTTGGTCACTATCGACACCTAGTATCATATTTAATATACTTCGCCAAAAAATGCAAAATATGATAATGTGAAAAGTCAAACTACAACGAGTAGAAGCAAAATATGACAGTACACATGTCAGATACTTCATATTCGGACCTTCCAAATCTTTCATTGGACCTTCCAAAAATATTGCTGAAAAGTCCCGGACCTGCAGGCAAAAACCACTATTTTCAGCCCCTGCATGTGTTGATGGATATGTAAGACACTTCACTGGAGGTAGTTATTGTTGACAATATATATATATATAATATAGCACTATCTACAAAAACAACGTAATGCGAGTTCAAATGATCTTATCAGGAGTGGCTATCACTATCATATAACTATTATTGAATAAGTCGTTTGTTACCGATTTTATGTAGAGTATTATATAGAGAATACTATAATTACTCCTCACCTCATTTAGGATTTTTATAGTTTGCAAAAATGGTGAGATGTAAATAACTCTTTGCATTGCTAGATTTTTCAACCACATGTACATACAATACAGGTAGGTACATGTACCTATAACCTACAGGTAGGTACTCACAGCATCCGACACCTTTGTTCGGCGCAGCTTTACCGTTCTTGGTAGAAATTGACGTACGTCGTTATTAAAATCTGGATGGTACTTCCTCTGCATGTAGGGAAACATGTGAGTGGATTAGACTTTCTTGTAAACAGTAAGAGTCAGTACAGGTTCGAGAATAACGTTTACAACAACAGGTACCTATTAATTATGTTATGATAACACTATTAACAGTCAATGAATCATCATAATACGGTGTACCTCATGTGGAGGAATCCACTTTGGTGGATGCTCATAAGGTGGCAAATCTACTGTTATCATCTCTCCTTTATCGTCGTACTGCTCATCGTGCTGCATTTTAGCCAACCATGACTTTCCTGGCGGTAGTCTGTCAAAGCTGCGACTAGTTGTTAACTTGTTAATGCTAATAATATAATATTAATAATTAATATTACAAGGCCTATTATAGCTTGTTGTTTACAATCACCTGTGGCCTAGACTGTCACCCTGTTAGTGTTACGCACTTGCGCTGGACTCGAAGGCACGGTTGTTCTCTGCTCAGCCAAGAAAAAGTATATAGAGGTTTTTTAAGTATCTACATATAAACAATAACCCCACACTATTTTCTTTGCAAATGTTTTATGGTTTTACTAAATAAATACTGCAAAGTTTACCAGACAGTACTCCCCAGTAGAATATATATTCATGCTAACGAGCAATGCTCATTTCATTTTTACTATGATGCTGCCACCTTGCGGTCTTTTCCAGTCGTACGAGGAACCATGGCTGTAGGCAAAAATAAGAGGTTAACTAAAGGAGGCAAGAAGGGTGCCAAGAAGAAGATGTAAGTAATATATTTTCTGACAATTCACGGTAGCATTTCTTTTAATTGTAAGAAAATGCGTTTACGAATTCGTTATGGAAAGGATTACGTAGATACCGACGGATTTAATAGTGCGTTGGTATACTTTCCCGGACTAGTAAACAACCACTAAAGTTCCCACATGTACGTGTGGCGGTGTGCATGTTCTCCGGCTAGCATTCTAAATTTATCTGTCTATTCTGTTCTAAGCTTCTGTAATGCTAACTCTGTAGGGGCAGCGTTCCACGTGTTTTTAATGACGTGAATGGAACACAGTACTGTCAGTAGGTTAACTGTGGTTTGTTTATAACACGACAGTGTTGACCCTTTCACCAAGAAGGATTGGTACGATGTCAAGGCTCCATCCATGTTCAACATACGCCAGATTGGCAAGACTCTTGTTACAAGGACACAGGGAACCAGTAAGTTTCCAACCACATAATATCTTGTGTTAGGTTAGGTTTAGGTTAAGTTAGGTTAAGGTTGGATGGGTTGAGTTTAGGCCTGGCCTATTATTATACCCATATCTGTCCAATGTAAGTCTAGTTTGTTTTTAAAGGTGTTGACCGTCTTGGCCTCGACAACAAATGTTGGCAGTGCGGCATTCACCACTCTTTGGCTGAAGAAGTGCTATCGCAATTGCAGCCTGGATCTATTTTTGAATAGTTTTATGGGATTACCCCTGGTGGTTCCGGTTGCCAGTGTGAAGAATTGGTTGCTATTTATGTTTTCTTTGTCTGTTAAAATTCTGTACATTTCGATCAGGTCTCCCCTTTCTCCTCTGTTCCAGTGAATATAGACCTAGGATTTCCAGTCTCCTCTCGTGTTCCAGGTTACGTATAGAGTTGACTAGCTTGGTTGCCCTTCTTTGCACTTTTTCTAACAGGTCCATATCTTTCTTATAGTAGGGTGACCAGGCTTGCACACAGTACTCTAGGTGGGGTCTGATGAACGTCTTGTACAGGATAAGGAAACACCTTTTATCTACGTACTTGTATGTTTTCTTGATTGATCTCAGTACCCCCATCGCTTTGTTCGCTGCTCTGGTACACTGTAGAGTGGGTTTCAGGTCGCTGTTTATCTATATCCCAAGGTCTTTTTCTTCAGTGATCTCATCTAACACTCTTCTTGTCCCAGCCTCATCGGTCATTGAGTACTCAAACTGTTCGTTATTTCCTCCTACATGCATCCGTTTGCACTTCCCGACGTGAAACTTTAATAGCCAATTCCTTGACCATTCACACATCATATTTAGGTCATGCTGCAGTAGCATGCAGTCCGTTGTTGTCGATATAGATTTCCAAATTTTAGTATCATCCGCAAACAATTTCATATCACAAATTACTATGTCCGGGATATCATTTACATATACCAGGAACAGTAGTGGTCTTAGGACCGATCCATGCGGAACCCTGCTAACTACTGAGCACCATTCCGAGTACAGTCCTCGAACGCTCACCCTCATCTGGCGCCCCACAAGGAAGCTTTCAATCCAGTTTATGAGTGTTCCTCTTATACCATACGCTTTCAATTTCTTCAATAGCCTCATGTGCGGAACCGTGTCAAATGCTATTTGATAGTCTAAAAAGATGGTGTCGATGCAATTACCATTGTCAATGGCCTTACTCCAAGCCTCAAATGTCTCTAGGAGATTAGTCAGACAGCTCCTCCTGTGTTGCGTAGAAGTTTGTTGTATTTTGCTCATCCATGATAGTTGATACACTAGAATCCTGCTGCAGAGTTCTTCTTGACTAGGTAATGTTACCAGGACTTGTAAGTTGTATCGGCACACTACTAGTAACAGGGTTCTCCCTACGTTGCGCAAACCGCGCGCCCCGGTTGTGAAATCTCCCCCCTGTTTGAATCGTTGCGCCCCGTTTAAATTCCACCACAATAAAAGTTTGCCAG